ACATTAGTTTTCTCTTCTTCAAGAGGGGCTATAAACCCATGTTCTTATTTGTATCGTGGCTTGTAACATTTGTAATCTCGAGCATGCCTTTGTACATCCACTTGATCCATTACAAAAACACACCGTCGCCTTGTATAACAGTTTTTAGGTTCTATTTATAGTAGAGCAGAGAAAACAGTTTGGTGATATTTTTGTTCAACAAAATGGATGTGCAGCAATTTCTCATCTGTAGTTTCACTTCTCCTACCTTCTTGAAGGTGGTTTGTGAACTCTTTCCAAGCTTGTATTTCTCATGCAGAATTGAATAAAGCACTTAACTCTTCTTCGCTCAAGCCTGTTAGTAGTTTTTAAGTAGATTCTCAAGTATCTAAACCTCTGACTCTTGACTCGCAAGAGTATGCATAACGTAATTTTAATGATGTGTTAAATTGAAGAAGACTTGCTAACTTAGTGGTTCAGCAACTTAATGTAAATCTTTTTCATCATGATAAGAGTTGATCCCTTTTTTTCGAATCACTTGCCCTAATAAAAAAAAATTGATGTGTTAAATTGTTATATCACTTTGAAGTTCTTTGAAAAAGTTTTATTGAAGGAATTTCGAGTTTTAGTTTGGGAAAGCCAAACAAGGGAAGGGATGACATTCTCCGTTGTGGTCCAATGGTGATCATTGCTATCCAAATGGGCAGTCGATGAATTGCACTCTTTCTAAGCGTTCGAGTTTCTCCAGTAACACTACAAATACTAATACATTAGCTAACTTAAGTTTCTCACTGTCCAAAAAAAAAAAAACAAACAAACAGACAAGGGAAGGGATGGAGTATTGAGAACGTAGCCTTGATCGAATAGGGGCAACACAGTAATTTAACTGTACTGTATATCACCTGACACCGCGTGCGCATTGATAACCTGATTTTTAGTTTTTAATTAACTTCGGCCGTCCGTCTCAAAATCTAGATTTTCAGAAATCGGAGAGATGGGATTGGCCCAGTCGGCGACGAAGGGGGTGAGGACCAAGCTCACCAGCGCGGCCGAGTTCGACTCAGCTTGCGGCTCTGCTTACGCCCACTGCCTTTCCCTTACTCAGCACGCATTTGAAGGAGTCCTCCCCTACCAGCTCCTCACCGCTGCCTCCCACCTCCACCAGACCCTCACATCTATCCACCCCCTCCCCCTCATCTGCCGATGGGTCCCTTCTCCTCCTACTCGCGCCCAGGTCGACTCTGCTTTACGAGCTGTAATCGGCCACCAAAGACCAGAAGGGGAGGATAAGATGCTAGTGCTTGGGTCGGCTCAATTCAGGGAATGGGCCATCGTGTTATTCGCAGACGCGGTTGTGGGGAATGCCGGGAAGGCGGTTTTGAAGAGAGTGCCAATTGGAGTAGCCGGAATTGTCGGGATTGGAGCAGTAGCCAGGCCGGGGAAGGAGGTTATTGGAACGTTGATGGGAGTATACACTCTGGGAGTGGTAACTTCTATCTACCTCGGGTTGTCTGGTTAATTGCTTTGCTCATGGAAATTTTCTTGTAAATAGTTTATTCAAGAAAAGAGAAAAAAAAAATTGTATCTTTACTTTACTCTCTTTGCAAGAATCTACTGAACTAGTTCTTTCATAAATGGAGTAGAAACTGTAATTTGGGAATGAAAGAATGAAGCTTTTTGCATTAGCAATTTTGGTAGAAATGAATTGATGGGTTACAGGTTTGGAGCACTGTCAGATACTAGAATTAATACAAAAATGATATGTAGTGAACTATTCTTCCTCTGTTTCAAGGCCTGGTATGTATTCCAAGCTCACGTCGAAGATGACTGGACTGTTTGCAGCCACTCTCGGCCTCCCAGGAGCTGAAGTTAGACCCTTTGGAAATGCCAACTGATAACAAACCAAGAAACAAAATCATGATTAGGTCATTTTGATTTCAAAATCAAGTAATCCTGCAAATGTTTTCAGTACAATGCAGTTCATCCAAGAAAAGAAGCAAACTTACGGGTCCTGGGACATAAAGTCTGCGTTTCCCCCCTACTTTCATGCTCAGGATCCCCTCATCAAGGCCTTTGATCACCTGTTCTACTCATTTAGATCAACGATCAGAGATGATGTATTCATCAAGGCAAATATTGTTTATCTGAATCAAAGTTTATGTATTTAAGCTACAATATTTGCCGCATTGTTCTGACCACCTAGACTAGAATTGTTTGAACTGGAAATTATCAGAAAATGCTTCCATAGCTTACCTGACCAGAGCCTACCCGGAAAATATAAAGCTGACCTTTCTCTAGTGAACTGCAGAATTGTGGGAAACAGACCTTTGGAGTCAGATAGCTATGTTCTTGTCTCAGGCTTGAATTCATGCTTTTTTGAGTTGGTAATGTTTTATGCTATCAATTTACTTACCTGTCAAATATTTGTCCAGATGGAATCATGGCGACATAATTAGCAGCCACCTGAAATAACAAATGATGCCAAACTCAGCTGCCATAGAAAATCGTAATTGGCCAGGAGAAGGCAATGACAGAAGGGGAATGATAGAAATGATTTTAAGACATATTTCTGAAATTGTTTCATAATAGTTCATGTTATAATAAGCTAATATCTAGATAGTGTTTAATGATCCATTTTCAGATAGCATAGATAAATCTAAAGTCACTTAGCTTAAAGTTCTTATAGAGGATGCATCATGCAACAATGATAAAGCTCCTATACCAGTGCTGCCTTGGCTAGTAAAGTTGGGCAAATCATCAAATTCCACCATTTTCAGTTAGAGAAGAGGATAGATTGCACAAAAGAAGTTTCACACACCTGAAAACCAACTGGTGGATTGGGGCCTCCTCCAACTTTGATGTCCTTGTACTGCAAGCCAGACTCTGTAGTTACCATAGGCACCTTCATCAAAGAGAACTCAAATTTATACCAGGTGATAATGCATTTGAAATAATGATCTATATATGCTAACCAAATTAGAGAACAGTTAGTTCAAAGCTAACAGAACAGTTTAAAGTTTAAACTGCATCCTCATCATCTCCAAGGAAATTATATGCTAACATTTATAAATAGATACATATGCCATATTTGTAATTTTGAGACATTTTCAATTTTCTAGAACTATTCGATATCATCAGCTTGCCACAGTGAAAGATGAATTCACCAAATCATCATTCCTTTTCTTTTCTTGCACTCTTTCACAACGTGCATAAACACAAAGAAGAGGATTTAAACTCAGGAGCAAAGTTGCAAACAAGCTATATATAATTGTTTAATTTAGTCTCATTAGAATAAACTTGCAATCCTTCCGTTCTGAACAAAATTTGATATACCATCATGCTAAAGTTCCACATTCCACTACTTTACTGCATATCTATTCAAAATTGTATTCTTCTAGACAAAAACTAGAGAAATTTATTGATCCGTACAAGACAATAGTCACAAAGCAGAGAAAAAGTCATATAGTTTTAAGTATCTTGTGGTGATTTGGTCAATTAGCCGCAAGAGGACAAAGGAAGCATTGAAGATAAGGGAGCAATGTAATCTCACCATACATTTTCAAGCTCCTTCTCACATGTATCATCACAGAGCTTTGGTGTTTGCTCTGGGGGAAGACCAGCAGCCTTGGCATCAGACGAGTTCACAAAGATGCTTGGAACAACTAAAACCAACCCAATCACTTCTCTTCGATTAACCAAGTTCAATCCATCCCCATATTTTCTTGCCATTGAAGCTTTAACTCTAAAACTACCAGTTGGGCACCGTGGGATTATGCTGCAAACTTTCTCACTCAAGACGGCTTGATGATTGGTGGAAATTCTCTTAATAGAGGCTCCTAAAACAATGAAAATTTAACAGATTAAGATAAAATGATTCAAAGAGAGACACATAAAAGTGAGGTTGTAGCAAAACACAAGAATGAAATTGCGAGAGTCAACTAGTAGAGCTCCATGCTAATGCATGATATGCCACTGAAGTGATATACCACCACCTTATTTTCCAAGCCAAAAACTGATCCCATAAGCATTTTGAGTCTATTTATTGGCAATGGAAGTGTTTAATAATTGAATATATATAAAGATACAAACACTTATGGAGAAATACATTCTATATATTGAATAAAAAGAGAGAGAAATTAGAAAAAAAAAAAACCCATAAAAAATATGGTAAAACCCTAGAATTGAAGCTGTGTACTGTAAGAAAAATACCCAAAATGTCTGCAATAGAAATCGATAGCCCTTTTAATTGCGGAAATGTTGAAGTTTGCAACTTTTGAAGCATATAAGAGTATAATGGAAAACAAATGGAATGGAAAGTAGGATGAAGAAAGAAAGAATAACTTACCAAGTGGAAGCAGTAAGGATGAAGGAGAAGCAGCCATTTTTCTGTTTTCTCTTTCTCTGTTGAGAAAGCGAGGACTTTGGAAACCCTGTGAATGGATAAAACGAAATCTTGCCGCTGAGTCTGATGATCAGGACACCCAGTTTAATTTTTTTAGTTATTTTAGAATTTCCCAAAAATGTTTTTTTTTTAACACTTTAATCCTTCTTGGAAATCTACTACCTTTTTACATTCGAGAAAAAATACTGTGTAAAGATAAAAAAAATAAAAAATAAAAGACAATATTTTGATATTCAAAATATTAAAAACATTTATAAAATTATTTAAATATTTTATTTTATTTTAATTTATTAAAATTATTTAAATATTTTATTATTAATAAATTTTGACATTTTATTCACTTGAATGATTTAAGTTTTTTATAATCTCATATTATTAATCATTAAATAGTTTATTTTTTAACCAAAAAAATTATTACATATATCTCAAAAAAAGAAGAATTTTATAAATAAAAAAAAGGAATTTGTTGTCAAATCAATATTAGCCCTGCGATCAGATATTATTACAAGAATGCCATGAACTTCACTGAGGGCGCTTAGGTATTAAACCCAACCAGGCATCTTCAATTCAACATTCTCGCTCTTACGGGTTTAAGCTCTGCGTCGGCTCTCGCCGGAGGAAGAAACAACCAAGCCCAGGTATCATCTATCCCGTGTTCTCTTCAATTATCCTTCCAGGGCCGGTGGTAAAGTTAGGGTGTCTCATCTTGTATCAACTCTCTATTCACTACTCTCCTTCATTGTTCTAATTTTTCTTGTTTTTGGTTTGACATGCGGATAATCTGCAGCGACGATGTCAAATATAGTGCTTTTCGAAGATATCTTCGTGGTCGATAAACTCGACCCAGATGGCAAGAAGTTTGATAAAGGTAAAGATTTCTGTTTTCTGATTTTTCTTTAGCTGATTTTCTCAACTGCAACTAGGTTTTGATTTTCTGCTGCTCCTTCTCAAGTTCTCAGCTTTTTTCCATATTGTTTGTTGCATGGTCATATATTATGTATGAGCAGAAATTGTCAATTGTTTGTAAAACTCTCTCTTTGGTTCAATTCTTTCTTGAGAAAAGTAGAGCTGTGAGAAGGAAGAAAAGAAAGGAAGAGGCACTTTTGTTTCATTTTGCAGTAAAAGTAATTAACTTTCAAAAGTTTCTTCTTTTATATTATGATGAGCAAAACAGCACTAGAAAGAATGTGATTTTAGATTTCTGTTGTTGAAATTTGGGAAGTGATAAGTGGATATGATATCTTGGTTTTGGAAGATAATTGTCAAGTGCCTACTCTGAGATTCAGGTTTCAGCTTCATTAGTTTGCATTGTGTTGTGATTAGAGATGCTGAGAAGTATGATTACTACCCATTAGATTGCGAATTGAACTAGGACATTCTAATTGGTCTGCAGATTGCTAATGGTAGCTGGGAGTAAGTTGTAGAGGACCTAGAGATCTCTTCACATAATAATAACAAGAGCTGGCGGTCTTAGAATGACACATACCTCGATCTTGTAAACTATAAATTGAAATTGAGAGTTGATAGAGGCATGTGAATGGCTATGAGACTTTTTTTACCAGTCTAGGAGAATGATTCAACTTTATGTTTGAAATTCTTTCTTTATTTTCCTTCTCATTCAAAGTAAAGATTATAAAGAACGGAGATGGATCTAATTTCTTTTTGAGTTAATATTAATGGGTAATAGTACAAATGTCAACTTAATCAATACTAGCATCATAAGTTCTAGCTTTTTCTGTTGGTTGGTGCTGTTCAAACCCTTTCTGTGATCAATTGGAGAAACTGAACTCTGTACCTTTGCATCATTCACTTTTGTAAATGTTAGAAGACAGAACCTTGTTATGTATATCTTTTTGGCAATGGGTCATAATATCAACATCAAAATATATGGCATATGAATGCTCATTCGTCAAAATATCTATATATATAGGCGTAATTTTAATCTGGCTTTTTTCCTTCATGATATTATTTGAAATTGGTTGAATACAATTGATGAATCTTTTTGCCAAAGTTGAATTATGCTCATGTTTTTCACCAGGCTGACTCTGATAATTGTATGCAGTCACTCGTATTGAAGCGCGGAGCCAGAACTGTGAAATGTTCATGCACTTAGATGTGAATTCTGAGATATACCCCATGCACGTTGGTGAGAAATTTACAATGGCATTAGCTCATACATTGAATATGGATGGGACACCAGATACTGGCTATTATACTCAGGTTTTTTCTGGCGTTAGCTCTCTGCTTTTTATTCTTTTTTTGTTTATTGGCTACCTTTACATGTTTCACACTCTTTGTTTATATCCTTGTGGCCATAGGAGATGTTGTCATTTAAAGTGAAAATTGGTATAACCGTACTCTATTTCCAGTCAGTGACATACAAGATATTTATCCTTATTTTTTGTGCATGGAGGAGCCACTGAGGTTAAATGATCATCTTAAAATGACCCTGAAATAGAATAAAAACAGCTAAGAAATTCTTCCTGTATTCCAGGGTGGGAGGAAATCTCTTGCAGATAAGTATGAATATGTCATGCATGGGAAGCTGTACAAGATCTCAGATGAAGGTTCAGGAAAATCACTAAAAGGGTATGCATATCAACCCACACATAATATTTCTTTTCATGTTCCACAAGTTTGACTTAGTTTGAGTTGCTACTACGTGCCTTAACATCCTCCATGGAATCAGTCTTTTTCTTCTGTTTTACTGTGTGACCATAAAACTTGGGAAGATTTCATTCGCTCTGTAATCTTTGTTCTTGGTTTTAAAATTAAATGTTTGTTTTGTTCTCAGGGAGATATATGTTTCATATGGTGGACTTCTCATGCAGCTGAGGGGAGAACCTTCTCATCTCGCTCAGTTCGAGCTCGACCAGAGGCTATTTCTCCTCATTAGGAAGCTTTGAGGCTTCGTTATGAATTCGAGGACAAGTATCTTTAACATGTACTATTAAGATAACCTCCTAGTGGTTTCTTGAATTATTATGGCTCGGAGATTGGCATTATCTTGAATCCCATGTAGACTTTTGCTTTATCCAAAAGAACATGGTTTACTGAATTTATTTATCGTGGTGAAAGCTAACATATATTAGTATAAAAATAATGTAATCAATTGGCATTGCTAATAACTACTAGCTAAAGAACATCTGTCTGAATGGTTACAATAAAAGACTTAAAAAATGAAGCTTAGATATAACCAAGAACATCAGCATCAATAACATAAAACCGGCCAACATAGCTAGTGGCAAGGTATAAGACAAAGCATGCAACGATATATGTTATTGTCAGTTGGATTGCAACATTGGGAAAAGTATTCGAACGCTCTTCCACATTCATGACAGATAATTTCCCCGCATCTGCAAAGAGAAAGATCTTATGTTTAGCAGTATGTACTACGGTACCATTTCGACCTTGTTTCTTATATGTATGTTTCGTTCTTTAAAGAGAAGATGAGATAACAAACCTGCATTTTACTTCTCTGCAGCCAGCAATTTTGTCAATAACATGCCCACATCTGTAGCACCTTTTCCACTTCTTCTCTTCAACTAGCATCCCAAAAAGGACATCGTTTCGGTTTCTCCTCTCTGCCATTTCGCTGCACCAGTACCCTGCGTGCCACTGAACCTTGCAGTTGAAACAAAATGCCCTCTTGCAATCAGGACATGTAGCTTTCTTAACCGTGCCGCCACACTCGTTGAGGACTAACATCGAACAGTTACTATACGGGCAGTAACACCTATCAATTCCTAAAATTGCACAATCGCAGAGACGATCGCACCACCGATCGAACAGGGGTTTTGAGATAACAGAGTGGCACAAGAGAGGATCCAGCTGGTGATCACAGTCGACTGCAGGACAGTTGACGGTGGCGACACCATCTCCTACCTTGAATTCTATGTATTTGGTTATGCAGTTGAGGCAGAAGGGGTGGCGACAGAGAGTGTTGTTGAATTTCTCGGTGGATGGTTTTGATTCCATGCAAATTTGGCAAGTGAATTCCGAATCCCCTTCTTCTACATCATCATCTGCAACCGATTGAATAAGCCTTTCTTCGCGTTCTTGGGGAACTTGCTTATTCAGTAAGTTACCCATACCCACACCACCACCTTGAGATCAAGGTAATTGATATTGATATAAATATCTAAACAAAGGTTATCCTATACTAATTCAACCCTAATCTACATCTTTTACTTATAAAAAAAATGCTTAGATAATTTCACTTTTTATTAATAAAAAAATTCTTAATTATTTTTAGAAAAATTGTAATTAAATAATAAAAAATATTAGACTATTTTAAAAAATAGAAAAAAATTCACTTAAAAAATTAAAAAGGAAAGATAATTTGGTACAAAATTCAAATTTTTTTAAGAAAAACAACTTATAGTATATTAGAATGGAAAGAATAAGTCATATTAAGATTGTCATGATTCAAAATATAAACTTATCATTCATATCTGTTGCTACTATTTAAGTTCATTTTAAATTTAAATTAATATCAGTTACACTATTTTGTTAAATATCAATTAATAAGTATGGTAATTACAGTTAAGAGAAATAGTGTATAATTAAGTTTTAAAAACATATAAGTTTAAATCTTAAGATTTAAAATTCGAATTCCAACTCTAAGATTAAATAACAATTTGAATGGTAAATAAAACAATTAAAACGGAAAAGGAGGATGGATCAGAAGTACAAACCTGCATGTTACATGAGAGGAGCCTCCACTTTTCTCAATTGCATGTCCACATTTGTAGCACCTTATCCATTTCTTCCATTCCACCAGCATCCCGAACAGGACATCGTCCCTGTTCCTCCTCTGCCTGCTTTCTCTGCACCAGTACCCTGCATGCCACGGAACCCTGCACTGGAAACAGAATTCCCTCCCGCAGTTGGGACACGCAGCTTTCTTCACCTGGCCGCCGCACTCGTTAAGGACTAACGTCGAGCAGTCTCTGTACGGGCAGTAGCATCTATCGATCCCAAAAAAGGCCTGCACGGCTGCACGAGACAGGATCCAGCTGATGATTGCAGTAGGGGGCAGGGCACTTAATAGTGGCTGCGCCATCTGCTACATTGGCTTCGACGAATTTGGCGATGCAGTCATGGCAGTAGGGGTGGCTGCACAGAGCGTTGCTCTTGAATCTCTTGGTTGATGGCATCTCTGTTGCACAAATATGGCATCTGAATTCTTTGTCTTGGGGCTTTTGCTTGTGGAGTATGGTTCCCATGGTGTACAAGGTTGAGTTGGTAAAGATGTCCACTTCTGTTATATTTGCTAAACCAAAGAGTAGGATATATATAGCTGCAACTGCAAGAGATCTGCTTGATAAAGGATCGAATTGAATAGTGTATAATCGGAGGATTAGGGATTGAATTCAATCCGATCTAATTTTAACTGTTTTAGCCTTTTAACTTTTAAGTAGAATTTGGACCATACCACTCTTGACCTCTAATTCCATTTACTAGTAGAGTTTTGCAACAAAGTTTAAAGTTAACAAAAGCTAAAAATAAAAATTTAAAGTTTAACTTTCTTTCCATTGAAAAATTCTGTTGTATCCTCAAGATACCATTGACTTGGTATCTCAAGCCAATAAACATATATCATTTTTGTTTTTTTCATCAAATGATTGATAAAATGTGAAAAAAATACTAAAATAATGTATTTTTATTGGCCCGAGATACCACTTATGTGGTATCTCGAGGATACAACATGTAGAAGGACTCCATTCTTATCAGTATCACACTCATTGAGGACATTGTGGAGATACCATAGGGAGCTACTTTCCCAAGGATGTAGAGCACAAGTCTGTCCTCTCAAGTTGTACCAAAAAAGGAAAAAAACTTCAACTACATATTGCATTTTCATGAACTAAAGTAAATTAAAAATGTCTGACTCATGTTATATGTATTACATCTCTATTTATGAAAATATAAAAGAATAATATTCATCTAAAACTACACCATTTTAATAAAAAAGATTAAAATACTAAATTTGAAAACATAAATTTCATTTACATGTAAGTATTAGTTACTATTTTACTTATGGACTACTAGTGTAAAAATGTGTTTTTAAGATTATACAAGAAGAAGTTAATTTTGAAAATAGAAGTTAGCCAAAAAAACACTAGGAACCAGCGAAAGTGTTCGTGTAACAAAATTTATTCCATTCACAAAATTAAGTGTTATTTGTGTGATTTAAGATGGTCATATTCTAACTCAGCCATCATAAAAACAAACAAGAAAAAAATCCCAACTAGAGCCCACACGCAATATAAGATCCATGTTGCGATTCTCCCACGCTCATGCTCGCAATATGTTAGAGGATGGTACCGCCGTCCACATTTGTAGCAAAGAATGGATCCACATCTGTAAATATCCAAACATCCATCACAATGTCTCCAAGAGTTTAGGCCAGAAACAAATATCATCAATGGCTAATTTTTTTTTAATAAAATAAAATGTAATAATTAATTATTTATTTTTAGTAAATTTAATTTGATTTCTTGACTTTTCAAATATAAATTTTAAATAAAAATTTAAATTATTATATAAATGATAATTGAAATTTTTTTAATCAAATAAAAATATTCAAAAAGAATTTTATATAAAAAAATTTTCAATTATCATTCATATAAATTATTAAATTTTTATTTAAATTTTATGTTTAAAAAATTAAAAAATCAAATTAAATCTATTAAAAATAAACAGAAATAGTAAGTGTTTTTATATAAAATAAAGAGTATGAATCCATTTACATATAAATCTTATACACTACATATTAAAAGTAGAAAGATGAATTATCTAAATTTTATGTAATTATAGTGTGTAAAATTTATATAAATAAATCCCTACTTTAAAATAAGGGTAAGATATGAATAACTACATTAAAACACCCACATTTTTAAATGTTTATAGTTCAATTAATAAAATATAATATAAATATAGTTTGATTCAACTAGTTAGTTTCTGTTTTTAGATTCTATTCAAGTGTCCTAAGATTGTTTGTTTTTAATTTAAACTAAAAAATAATGATTTTTAATGTGTGTACAATACTAATTAGTATCTCTAACTAATTTTAAATGTTAGGGAGTAATTTATTTTAATTTTAATTGATAGTTGAAAACTTAAATGTTAGGCAGTAATTTATTTTAATTTTAATTGATAGTTGAAAACTTGAAATCTTAAGGGGTGGATTAAGGAACAAACCTGCAATGTACTTCCGTGCATCCTTGAATTTTTTCAATAGCATGCCCACATTTATAGCACCTAGTCCAATGGTTCAATTCCACCAGCATTCCCAACAGAACGTCGTTTCGGTCTCTACTCTGGCCGCTTTCGCTGCACCAGTACCCTGCGTGCCACGGAACCTTGCACTGGAAACAGAATGTCATCTTGCAATTTGGACACGAAACCTTCTTCACCGTGCCACCGCACTCATTAAGGACTAACATCGAGCAGTTGTTGTTCGGGCAGTAGCATTTATCCACCTCTAGAATGGCCGTGTCGCAGAGACGATCACACCACTGATTGAAGAGTTTTCTCGGGATTACAGAGCGGCAGAAGAGCGGATCCAGTGGATGATTGCAGTTGAGTGCTGGACACTTGATGTTGGCGGGGGCACCGTCTTCTACCCTGGCCTCAATGTACTTGGCAATGCAGTCAATGCAAAAGGGATGGCGGCACAGAGTGTTGTTGCTGAATTTCTTGGTGGATTGCACTGGTTCCACGCAAATCTCGCATGTAAATTCTGAATTAAGTTCTAGTTCTTGTGGTTCTGGCTCTGCTTTTGCTTCTGCTTCTGCTTCTTGGAATCCTTTCTTGTGCAGCACGTTTCCCATGTTAATTGAACTGTTTATACAACACACGCAAAAATATAACCTTCTGAGTTCTGATTATAGCAAAAAGAGATTTCGGAAAGCAATAGAGTTGCATACCTACTGATAATGAATTATCATTTAATTTCAAATTTTCAATGAAGCAATATAACCTTCGAAAAGACAATTCCTAGCTCCGCAACCCCGAGGCAACTCTTTCTTGTCTTTTCTATATAATTAATGATTGTAGTCCTAAAATAGGAAAAATTACAATAATAAAACTTGAAGATTCTTTCCTTTCCTCACTAAATCACACGTCTTTTTGAAACGGCCATGAATTTTTTTTTTTCTTTTTGAGCTGCTAGGATGTTGCAAATCAGGTTTTATATAATTTGAGATTAATCTGGTTTTAAGAATGCAATCTTTATATGAATTTAATGTATTAAAGAAAATTAATTTCACTTATTAACTAATGATCTAATCCTTGGGGTTGAGATCTTTCTATTTGATGTAAAATTGGCAACAAAAATTTTTGGTATAAGCTAAAATTAATGATAAGAAAATCAAATATTAAATGGAGTATATTTAATGAAAATAATGTATATTAGTTTCAATTCCTAAAAAAAATTGAAAATTCAATATTTTTATTTAATTAAAATTTAATTTTAAATTTAAAAATTTACCATATTAAATATTAACATCTAAATTTAAAAATTCATTGTATTAAAATGTACAATTTGTTTCTAATTTTAAATATTAACATTTAATGTAATGAATTTTTAAATTTTAAATTAAAATTTTAATTTGCAAATACGGGGTAAAACTTTTTTTTTTTTGGTTGGGTCGGGATCCTCATATTTGATTGTATTAAATAATTTGTATTTTATCTTATTTATTTTCTTTTTCATTTTTTCAATTTTCTACTCATCAAACTGAACCGGACTCAACCGGTTCAGTACTTCAGAATTTTCCATAAACTCGGTTTAGTTGGTCGGTTCAGACACCAGTCCTTTTTTGGAAGCACAGCAAACAGGGGAAAAAAAATCTAAAAACAGTGTGATATCGCAATCTTCGCTGCCTATCCAGAATCGTTGGCAAAACGTTTCTACTTTCTGGCAGCAGTCGAAGCTTCGTTTTGCCTACCGAATGGCTATGAAATCGCAAATACTTACAGGGTTGACCCCGCCAATGTCATCTGCTTCTTCTTCGTCGAGCACCAGTAGCAGCCTTTGCTTAGTGAAGAAACCTCTCTCCACATCGTTCTTCAATGGCGGAGGTATGATCTTTTGGGGTTTTCCTCTTAATGGGTATCTTAAATTTTCGCACTTTCATTTAATTTCATGTCGTGGGTTCAGTTTTACACTTTCTGATTGCTAGGAAATACAAAGGAAAGGACCTTTTTTTTTTTCCTTGAAATTTAATTTTTATGGCTGAAGGAAAAACTGAATTGAAAGGGACTGCTTAATTTTAACAATTCGAGTGGTTGGGGTGATGCTCAGTGAATAAAGATAGTTTCTTAGCTCCTTTTACTATCTTATAATTGAAATTTTCAATTTCAGACATCTCTCTTTTCAGTTTAGTAGTTTGTAACAAACTGCAGTTCCAATGTAGGAACAAACACAATGAGAATCTAGAAGAAGAAGAAATTCATCAAACTCTCTCTTTTTTTCTTTCTATCATGCGCTCCTAACATTCTTCTTCTTTACTTCAAAATTTTAATTCCCTTCATATTTTTTATACTTGTTGAAGTGAGGGGTTTAAGAGTGTCAAGGATGAGAATTACTCCAGCAAGGTCCCCTAGTTATAGACAAACTGCACTTATTGTACGTGCTAACCTTTTCGATCGGTTTGCCAGAGTTATTAAGGTAAGACAATGGGATAAGAATCACTGCAGCAAGATCTCCTTGTCATAGACAATGTTTTGTCTTCTAATTTCCACTGTTTGTATCTTGTTGAAATAAACTTATGGATCTCTTATGATGGCAGTCCTATGCAAATTCAATCTTGACTTCTTTTGAAGACCCAGAGAAAATTTTAGAGCAAACGGTGCTTGAGATGAATGATGACCTGATAAAGATGAGACAGGCCACAGCCCAAGTAAGGCACATAATCCTGTATATTCTTGTAAATGTGTCATATATAATTGGATTGCTTATTAAAGCATGAGGTAATGTAGTCAACTGTAAATTGTTTTAGGAAACTCTTCTCATATTTATTATGCGTTTTCAGAGATGTAATGGTGAAAATTTTTTTGAAGGTTTTGGCATCACAAAAACGGTTGCAAAATAAGTACAGTGCTGCAGAACAAGCTTCGGATGATTGGTAATCTAACAATGAGTTGTTTCTTACTTCCTTTAGTGATTGTGATGATGGTGGTCACATGCTTCTAATCTTCTGATGTGTTTTGAGTTTGATGTAGGTACCGTAGAGCACAGTTGGCTCTTCAAAGAGGAGAGGAGGATCTTGCTCGTGAAGCTCTCAAGAGACGTAAATCTTATGCTGTAAGATATGATCTTTGAAAAATAGTTTGCCTGACTTGTTTCATTAGGTTTTAATGATCATTGTACGTATTTGGATTCATATTGCTCCTCTATGGAGTTGCTGCTGGCATAGACAAGTGCTACTGATAGATAATGATTTAATTGTTATGTGCTGTTGGTTTATGAGAGAGGGTGGGACCACTGAAGAAGTATTGTATAGCAAGCAATCACTTGAAGGCTAGACGATGTAGATGTAATACTGATTTTACAAAATGACTTCAATATTCCTTATTTGAAATCATTTAGTGCTGTAGAATATAAATGGATCTGCAATTCTTGTTCCTATAAAACGGGGGACAGTAAGGTTTATTACAAATTTTGTGGCAAGATAGCTAGATAGTTTGTAGAATTAGTGTATTATTATTGTCAGATTTTTGGGTTTTGAGGATGTAAGGTTAAGTTTTGATTTAGCCACATTAATAAAAACTGATCAGATATATAATATCATTCTTGTGCTCTGCACTCACCCCAGAATCTATAGCAGGCTGGTTTTATGGTTTTTCTTAATTGATTCGAAGAAAGGATATCATCTGAACTTTAGGGAGCATAAGAAGAGATGATTTATGACTTATCTTGGTTTTTAAAGTCAATAAATTATCTCTGAAGAAACTGTTGTGCCAACTTTCTATGTGTTTATTTTTTCAGGATAATGCAAATCAACTGAAAGCTCAACTTGATCAGCAGAAAACTGTTGTTGAAAATCTTGTCTCTAATACAAAGGTATGCAAATTTTAATCACTGGGTTTTTGCTACACCATTAATTACTCACACATTAATGTTGTGATAATTCTGTTCCCTGAGGCTGAATTATGTTTTACGTAGATTTTAGAGAGCAAGATACAGGAAGCAAAATCAAAGAAAGATACTTTGAAAGCTCGTGCTCAGTCTGCAAGGTAATCTTTACTTTTCCCATCATTATGCCTTTTTTTTGTGTTTTCTTCCTCAGTATATTATCACAGTTTAACTTTTTGCCAATAATGGATTTGCTGGTGCTTCAGAACTGCAACCAAAGTGAATGAGATGGTGGGAAGCATCAACACTAGTAGTGCTTTATCAGCTTTTGAGAAGATGGAAGAGAAAGGTAAGTTGATCTGAATATTAGTGCTTACTTTGATACCCATTTGTTTAAAATTTTTGTCCTGACTTTCTGGTTGCTAATCAACCTTGATGGACTAGATTTGATCTGGGCTCTTATTTTTATCGCTCTAAAAAATTTTTGACAGTTTTGGCAATGGAGTCCGAGGCAGAAGCTCTTGGCCAGTTAACCACTGATAATCTTGAAGGGAAGGTAGTAAATTCTTTACCTTTTCTTATTCATTCTGTTTTTCTCTGAGGTGTGAAAATTAATACCTGAGTTTGTGCGCCAAACTTCAATATGAACAACATATAAAAGAGATATTTAGACAAAACATAGGAAGTATCATGTATTAGTTGAATCTTATTAAGTTCAATGGCTGTACGACAATAAATAACCAGAATTAACAGTGTTTTAGGTAAATATGGTGGCTGAATTATGAGATAGCTATTTATCATAAATGTCCTAATTAATTCAGATATAACTTGGGCTTGGTTTTCTTACAATCTCAAAATTTGGTGACAAGATTTTTAAGACCATTTTATTCTATAGTTGGCACTTGACATACATGCTAAAATTTTGCTACTTTTTAAGTTATCCTTTAGAAAATTGACTTACTTATGATTCTTAAAAACACCATCATCTGTACTGCAGTTTGCTTTACTCGAGGGTTCATCAGTGGATGATGATCTTGCGGAGCTGAAAAGAGAACTCTCTGGTAGCTCAAAGGTTTGTCTCATACTTGCCTTTTGGAATGCGATATTCTATTTATGAGACAGAGGTTATGTCATGTGTAACTTTTCATTTAAGTCTTTTTTCCTGCTCATGCTAGTTTTTTTTTTTTTCTCACTGGTCTGTTTTGGCAAGTAGGCAGACGTTGTCGTTCAATCTTTAAGGCAATGAGAAGAAAATCTCTTTACAGATCAAAAGCTTTAATTGTTGGACATGCAGAATCTCGAATTTCATCTTTTTAACAACTGACAACCAAGCTTCGTGCTTTTCTCTTCACCCAACAGAAAGGAGAGCTTCCACCGGGAAGAACTGCTTCCACCAGTACAAACAAGTCATTCCCATATCGAGATGCAGAGATAGAGATGGAGCTCAACGAATTGAGGCGGAAGGCAAAAGACTTCTGAAGCTTCTGATTTGCATTTGCAAATCTCACAATTTTCGTTTCAAAACTCAATTACACTGGAAAGGGTTTAACTTGGTTGGTACGGTAGAGACCAAACAGGTCAACGTACAGACGCCAGACTTTAAATGAATTATAGTTATTTTTCCGGATGACCATGTACATAGTTATGTTTCATACTGGAATCCCATTTTTTAGTTGCAAGTCATAATCTATGAGCACTTATGCTTTGGACAAATTTGTACAAATATGGTAGTTATCTTTCTATCAATTTCCCTTTGGCCATAGCAGTGGGGTTCAGCACCCTGGTAACAAATAGCGGCAACAGTGCTGCCCTGGCATCCTCCATTGACCACTTGTTCCCGCCCCTTCCCAAAGGTCCAGATTTCCGCCACCAAATTGAACGCGTGTTACATTGTGGAGTGCCTGTTCATGAATCGTGGGGAAACGGTCAAAAAATTTAACACACAAAAATTGCTTACTAGTGCGAGAAAATGTTTTGGGATATAAACTATTAAATTTAAGAATAATGATATTAAGAATGAAAATTTAAAATACAAAATTTAAGATTAATAATATGGTATAAATTTTATTATTAAATTAATTGATTTATATAATATTATGAGTTTTTAAAAAATAAAAAATTATTTATTAAATAATATAAAATTTATCTTTTAATATTTTAAATTATATAATTTATATTAAGTTATTGATATTAAATTTTAATCCAAAATTTTTACTTTATTTATCATTATTCTAAATTTGAATTGAAGTGACTGTAGTATTGAAGACTTAAAAAAAAAATTAATAAACTTTTTAATTTTAACATAGATGGTTTATTTTTTACAAAATTATGTAGATTGGTTTAGTTTAATACATGTACATGGATTCAAAAAATCACAATTTGGTGGGTAAAAGGGAGAAAAAGAGAACCGTGTAAGACCGAAAACCCTCGTGCCCGTACTTTAGTCAAGTTCAAAGTTTCAACCTTTAGACTTTATTTCTTTGAACTACAATATCACAGTAGCTCAACTGCCTCAAAAAGACAGAACCTGCCTTTCCACCATGACCCAACCACGTTTTGTCCAAAGGCACTGTTGTAAATTCGTCACCCACCAACTTTGACCCGTTCATATTTATGAACCCCTAGTTTTCATCTCCCCCAGTCCCCAGCACTATCAGAACAGAGCAGCTTCCTCCATGACTGGTTCAAACCTGCTTGGTCAGCAAGAAAAAATTAAGGCCACTCAAAACCATGGAGCCATGCAAACCCCATTGCTATAAATACTTCATAGCTCATCCCCATTTCCCCCACAGACATTTCCAAGCAAATTAAAGCACCCACATCTTCCCAAAAAACAAAGCTTTCAAATTCTACCGACTCCCCAGTTTCTTAAAGTATGGCAAGTAGAAAATTAAGCACCCTTTTGCTCGTTCTTGTTATCGCAGTGGCTGTTCTCAGCTGCGTCGAGGCGACGAGAGTGTTACCGGAGGATTTTGCGAAGGCAAACCACCTAGAGACGTACTCGTCGGTGTACGAGAAGGCGAAATCCACGATGTCGTGTTGGCTCGGACGGCTGGCTTCCGGACCTAGTCCTAAAGGACCTGGCCACTAGAGGTTGTATGCAGTTTAAGAGTATAAAAAGTCGAAGAAATCATAGGCTGAAAGATTCTTTTGATCGTTTATTTGTTCTTTTTACATGTATGTTGCAGAGAATCACAGGAGATGAATGCAAATGCAATAAATAAAAAGAATAAAATTCTTTATAATGATTATATATATTCCTGATGTAATACATTTTTCTCAGATTTACACCTCCATCTATACAATTAATCTCGGATAAGGCTTGTAAGAGATTAGCCGAATTGTTACTCATTAATTAAAAAATCTTCATTTAAGATCAATACTAGAAAGTTTAAATATTTATCATACTAAATAGTTAATTATATGATGTATAATTTTTTTTTTTTTTTTAAAAAGGTTAGAGGAGCCTACACGAATTATGTCCCTTGCAGTGCACTGTTTCTTAGTACAAGGACATAAAGGAGAAGGGAAGTAATGGCGAAGTTAGTGAGCGGGGTAGAATGGGAGAGGTTGGAAGCAGAGGAATCCTCATTCCCCGTTTTCTATTTCTTAAAAGTTGCGGAAAGCCTTCATCATCATGGTCTTGTTTTGGAAGCCATGCGTTTTCCCCAACACGTGGGAGCTGGCCGCTTTTGAAACTTTATGATGCATGGCTCTGACCGATGACCATTGAGTCATTGACCACCCACCATTTGATACCATAATAATCAACAATTGGCGGCTGGTTATGGAATGATGATAGGGTTTTTTAAAATTTTACCGTATCGGTTAAAAATTTTGAAAAAATAAAAAATAACATTTAATTTATTAATTATTGAATTAAATTTATTTAAATAATATTAATATTAAAATTAATATTTATTTTTATATTTTTTTTATGAAAATAGTGCCTATCAACCTTACCTTTTAAAGATTAGGAGAAAAATCATTCTAAAACTACGTCGTTTCAATAAATTTTTATTAAAAAAGATTAAATTACCCTATTTTTAAAACATAAATTAAGGTGATTTTTGTCTTTTTTTTTATAATTTTTTTAGAGGTAAGGCGGATAAACACTAATTCATTTTTTTATTACAAAAGATACCCTTAATCTATAACCTAATCTAAAAACAGCTAAAAAATTTAATGATGATATTATTAGAATTGGGGACGGCAGTGAGCAGGGGCGGAGGCAGAAATTTTTTTCAAGAGCACAATACTAAAATTTTCAAAGTTCATAGGAGATTAGATAATTTTTCACATGCTAATTTGTAAGATTTTCAAATTTCAAGGGGGGCGAGCCCTCCCCCCTCTCTCACCCCCCCTGGCTCCGCCACTGGCAGTGAGGGCACGGCAAAATTGAGATTCGCTTGGATGTGTTCGTATGGGTGGAAGGTATACAGGAAGTGGCCTGGAAGAAGATTTAGTTTTGGCATGAGACGTGAGAATTTTTCAGAAAATTTATTTTTCCCTTCAATTTAGCGGTACCATAATTAAAAGGACAGTACTTTAATTGGTGAAATGGGCTCTTGGGGACAGTATTATAGAGATTTTTATTTATATATATAATTTTTACATGTTATTAAATAAGTAAATTTATTTAATATTATAAGTTTTACATGAATTAAAAAAATTAATTATTTTAATGATACATTAAATTATACAAAAAAAATAAAACAAAAATATTGTACAAAAAGCATTTCCTTAAAGTATCATGATATAATTAAAATGAAAAAAAACTGGATTGGTAGAGAGGTGGATGAGGGAATATGTATAGTTGGTTGGTGGAGAATATACACATATACAGGGAGATGGTAAGAGAGTGTGGAGTTTTGGCCAGGACGGTAAGTATAAACATACCGTAAATTATTAAGGAGACTTGTGAATTATATATTTTATTAGGCAGTGAGGATTGTTAATTTTTACTTGAAAATCAGTTTTTGTAAGAAGATTATTTAAGTTAATTACAAGATTTTGATGTTATTAGTCGTGTATTAATTTCCGTGAAAATAAATCCCAATTATTTGAGCAATTTTATTGTTTAGGGGGGTGATGTCCATAAAGGGAGAGCTGCTCGGCTGGTTTTTATTTTATTTTATTTTTGGTACATTGGAGGGTTCTGGCTTTTATTTATTTATTTTTTCAAAGCAGGTTGTGGTTTTCCGTGAAAATAAATCCCAATTATTTGAGCAATTTTATTGTTTAGGGGGGTGATGTCCATAAAGGGAGAGCTGCTCGGCTGGTTTTTATTTTATTTTATTTTTGGTACATTGGAGGGTTCTGGCTTTTATTTATTTATTTTTTCAAAGCAGGTTGTGGTTTTTATTGTGTTATGTTGTTACTTGGGACTTTGTGGATGTGCAGGAATAATTGTAAGTATCAACAGCTGTTTTGGTTTTCAACTTGAAGATTCAGAAAAATGATCATTTTTGTATATGGTTTAGTTAAAGTGAAGGCAACTCTAAGGGTTGAATTTACCTGTAAGTAAATGTTGGATTTCAAGTCTATATAAATTTATTAAAGTTTCGTTTAGTATAATTATGATTTTAATTTTTATAAATTTTGTAATTTTAATAAGAAAATTTATTTATTTTAATGTGTTGTTACAACATATTATTATGATTATTAGATAAATAAGGATAAAAATAATTTTAATACAATTAAATAAGTAAATATTTTTAATTGTAATGTTAACATTTATTTTAAATAATTTTTTTATTTTTTAATTTCAATTTTAATTTAAAATAACTGCAGAATTTATAAAAATCAAAATCTCAAAATTACAGTCATGTTAAATGAGCTTAATTTGATGAAAATTTTAAATAAAATTTATACATTTAGATTTTCAGTACATAATATATCATTACTCATTGATAAAAGAATGATTTTTTTTTTTTTTCCGAAAAGCATTGATAAAAGAAGGATATTTTGAGTAACCATATGGAGCCCACAACTTTTTGCTTGCAAGACATTGATTCATTTGGGCATTGGGCCCAAGTCCACAATCATTTTCGCATGCGCTTAATGGATTTTGTTTAGATAAGATTGCCCTTCGACATCTAGCCATTGGACAACCGCACCAAATAACTTTATAGGCTTTGTTTTTTTTTGTATGGACCACCCGATATTCGTAAGTTTATTGAGCCACTGATTAATCCGGATTTGAGCTGGACAGGATCTAATGGGCAGCAAAGCTCGCCCTCACGAATTTTAACGGAAATGTATTCTCAAAGTTTAAAACTAAGACCTCTCATTAAATTAAAAAAGTACCCTATCAACTCATCCACCTCATCGTGGGTAGGACATTATAGGCTTTGTGCGTATATGCTGAAAAAACAAAAAGCTGTGTAGGCTCGCTGTTGCTGTTGATTAATATGGGCACAACCGCACTAACTGCACTAAGAACTTTGTGAATGAATAATCAAAAGGATATAGATTAGAAATACTTATTGTTTGAGTTAAGTCATCTTTTATCTTTTTTTTTTAATAAAATAATATAGTTATAATATTACGTAAAATTATAAATTTATAATCTTGAATTTTTATTAAATGACTAGATGTGCATGAAATATTATGGATAGATCTTTAATTGAAAAAAAGGTAATTATATAGTGACATATTAAGATTATAAATTTATAATATTTCATAATATTGCAACTATATATATCATTTTTGTATTTCTTTTGGTGACAAGCTTAAGTGGCCATCTTAACATTGACTTATAATTAAAATTGCAATTTACTTTGCATATATGTTTGTTTCTTGTAAATCTGGATGATAATTGGTGCACATCACGGTTCGTCACTTTCCATTACATGCGAATTGAAAAATAAATATCTCATGGTTTGGAATTAGCCGGGGAAAGACTTAATCATGTTACCATTCATAGTTGATTCCTGTAAGCAAACACTCCCAAATTTTGTGTCACTGAGCTTTCTCCATCTTTATCCACTTTGGTGACTGTTCAGTTTCTCAATAAGTTTTCAATTTCACATCTATGAAGAATTTCATGTGTAAATAATTTTTGCGACATTTCACCTAACCAAAAAAAGGCCAGACACCAATCTGATACCGTCAACAATCATCTTCTTTGGAGCAGTGGAATGTTATCCATTATTTTTAAAGTCATTATTATCCACTAGAATATAGAACTTGGTTCTCATGGGAAACCTTCACAAATGTCTTCTTCTGCTCCAAGCGTCAATTAATGTTAGATCTTTGCAACATTCCTTCTTTCAAACAAAAGATCTAATAGTTTTCTAGCCAGAAAATCATCAGTTCTAAAAAGTGTAGATAAGATTTCAAATTAATTTTAGGAATTGACCCAAACCTTCCTTTGCTTGCCTTTGAGTTACTTTTAAACACCAAAGGAATGAGTAACAAAGGGGTTTTTTTAATTTTAGTCGTGGTGGGTGGTACTTTTAGAAGTGTTTATGTGTGTATATTTTTTATTTCTTATTTTTGTGCTAGTGTGGATTATCTTTTTTTGATTTCTTAGCTTGATTTGTGAGTATTATGATTTGAATCAAGTTGAAAATTCTTTGGTTTAAGAGTAATGGACTTGGATTTTGTTAAATTTGTTCTCTGTTTTATGTTTGGAGGAGAAATGAGATTTGAAAATTAATGATCTTGTGAAATCCTTAATTAATGCCTTGGATTTTGCGTAAAATACAACTTCAATAGATCAAAATTAATTTGATGAGAGTGAACTTGCATCATCATCATCGTCATCTTGGGTTGATCTTGTGGAGGCTCAAGACGCTGGAGAAGGAAATTGAAGGAACAGAAATACCGGAGGAGATGATAGCGGAACAGATCTGCAAATTGAATTTTAATACTTTTTCCTTCTTCTTCTTCTTTTTCTTTTTTCTTGAGACTTTTTAACAACCTAAAAGTCCAACAATAATATTGGACAAAGTGAAGTACAAAGACTCTCGGAGATAAGAATGCAATGGCAAAAACGAAAAAAAAAAAAAAAACCTCCCCTATGAGAGATATAGTGTCAACATGTTGCGTCAGAAAAGTTAAGGATAAGAGTATCCCGACATTTCAATGTATTTTATTAGGAGAATTGGGGGGTGTACGGTGGGGTATGCCGGTTTAAAGGGTTAATATATTATTTCTTAATTTACAATTAAAGCGATCATTACCCTGAATTAATAATTAATCTCCACTGTAAATGAAAGCATCAAATTAATTACCAATTAAGAGTATGATATAATGGAAAGCGTTGTCACATATAGCAATAATTTATTCCTTCAAACCCAATTGATCAGAAACCACAATAGAAAAATAAGAGTAAATCCATCAGTAAAATTCAAAAACTAGCAGGTGAGATTATCTCCAGTAGAAACACCAAGCTGACTGCAGTACTGAGTGTAGTAGCTAACCCTAGCCTGAACAGTCGCAGCGTTTCCACCGTCGCACTCCAATGCACCATTAATGGCTCGGATGGTCGCACCAAACCCTTGCCCCAACACTGGTTCAACATTGTTCACCCAATACCACAGGGCAGTCTTGAATGAGATGACGGGGTCTGTGGCCACTGTTTCGGGTGAGTTCAACCCGTCGAACCCGATGCTATTCCCTGCAGGCCCGTAGTTGAAGTTCCATGATAGTTGGATCGGTCCCCGACCATAGTAACCCTTGTTAGGGTTGCATGGATACTGTGTGTTGCTCTCATCACAATAGTCCTTAGAGGCTCCATCTATCTCTTCTATGTAGCAAAAATCTGCACACCCACAAGTACAAAAATTTCTCATTTTCCAAAACTAAATAAAAATTTCTAGATTGAAAATAAAGATCTTGTTGAATGGGAGAGAAATCTTACGTCCAGTTTCATGAGTTACATGGGCGAAGAAAGCTGCAATCTCCCGTTTAGAATCATCGGTGGAACCAGTCCTTCCAAACTGAGAATAGGAATTCAGAGCTTCAAGAAATGCGTCCCTGGAGTAGAAGTTCTTCCCTGCGCAGCTGGCATCTGCTTGATTCAAAATCCCATTGAAGAATTCTGGGGTAACTACATCAGGGACCGAAACATCGTTAGGTGTCGGTGCTGCGTTGCAAGGGCCCTGCTGGCAGCCGGTTCCGCAATAGTCATCCCCTGTGCCACAGTATCCCCATTTACTGCAGCAGAGGCCTTCTGCGCAACCACAATTTTGAGCCAATACCGTACTTGGCATGGCTCCTGCAAGAATTCCGGCTAGGACAAGGATGAGGAAACCTTTTCCCATCTTCAGAGAAATCATTTTTGTAGAAAAAGATAGGAGTTAGAATGGGTGTTTGTGGAGGAAATATGCTTTTGGATCAGACTATATATAGACTTTTTATACATTAGAGGGTCCATTTTTCAGTGGGGTCGTATATGGACAACAGGGATTGGTTATGACTTTGACTTGATATGATATTATGATCGATAATAAAAGAAAGACGCGTTTGCTTTTGGATACTTGGCCCATCACCATACTACAGTTGTCATATTTCTCACTTTCTCCTCAATTTTCTCAATTTTCACGTGTTTAAATAATAATTTTACGTTAAACTAATCTTTAAATTTAATGGTTCGTTTTTAAATTTAAAATTTTAAATTTAATTAATAAAAAATTTAATTTTTATTAATTACTTAAAAAAATTCATTAATTACTTAAAAAAATTTTCATGCACTCATAATTCCTCATGTTCAAAAAAAATAATGATAATAATCTTAATATTATGTGAAATGATAAATATCTATTCATTATATACTTTAAACAATTTTCAAAGAAACAGGCAATTAGCACTTGGCCCTCTTAATATGATAGTTTTAAATTTTATTGTAAATGTACCCTCAACCTAAGAATTAAGTTTGGAATCCTCACTTTCAAAGTTGTAATTGTTTAAAATAATAATATTAATAGGGCTATGGTAGGAATACTGAGAGAAATAGAAAACCCCTCGTTAAAACCCAAGTTATTTAATTGAAGATACTACTTTATTGGGTGAGTAATTGAGTATACTGTATACCCTTTACAAGATAGAAAATTCTTAGTAATAATAAGAGTGGGGATATATTTGTATATTAGTTTTATAGATTATATTTATATAAAAGTTTAATTATTTATGTTTTAATTTTTAATTTTTAAAATTTATTTATCTTTTATTATTTTATTAATGATAATGATTTTTTATATAAAAATCATAATAAAGTTTAATTATTAAAAATAAAAAAATTAAAAATTAAAAATTTTATAAATATAATATATAAAATCTATGTATACATAAATTTTTATAATAATAATAATTTGGTTTCAATAACAAATTCAAAATTTTTCTCTTGCACTGTTGAACAAGCGGTATAGTTCCTTAGGTGTACCAAAAGAAAGTACGTTAATTTTCCCAGCCAGAAAAGTATGGCACGGTAATATCCAACTGTGCAATGTTTATTATTAAAAAAAAAAGATAAAGCTTTTGATTTAAAAATGGTCTCTTATTTAATTATTTTTATTTTGTCATTTAA